GTCGCTGCCTTACGTAATACGTAAGGCAGCTAGGCTGCCACACGTAACCTACGTAAGGCTGCTACACGTAACTTACGTAAGGCTGCCACACGTAACCTCCGTAAGGCTGCTTCACGTACCATACGTAACGCACGTCGCTGCTACACGGCCTCGCGAGTTACGCCATATCCGCCAAGGGACGCTCTTTCGGCAAAAGCAAAGGTCTAATCCACCTATAGCCAGCTTAAGGTTACTTTCGCTGAGCCAATAGAAATAGATAAACCCGAACCCGCTTACACCGCGATTCTAAACCGAAACGCTTTACGACCGGAGGACCTACGCAATCTGCTCGTTACGTTGTTAAAAGCTTTTAAAACAGCATTGAAATTCAAGGCTAAGCTTTTTAAGACTGCTAAATTATACGAAAGCTTTAGCAAAGTGACCTCTTTTTTAAGAATAGACTACGAAGCGACTCGTATTAAGCTTTTAAAAAAGCGTGATTTGCTTAAGAACTTAACTCTTAATAAAACTATTGCGTCCTTCGCTGTTCTTTTTACTTTTAAACGATCTTCTTTTGAAAGTATGATCGATAAGATAATTTAGCAAACTTTTACAAACGAGAGCGCTATTAATTGCTTTTAAGCTACGGTTAGCGTTGCGAAAGCTTCGAAAGATTGCTTGATTATAAATAGCAAGCTTATACCGAAAGCGGCGGATAATACGATACGAAACGGACTTGCTTCGAGGCTTTCGCGACTTATTCAAAAGGAAAGTAATATCTTTTCATTTGATAACGATTTATTTTGTAAAGTTACGAATCGTTTTATCGATAAAGCGCTTTATCGTAAGAATTTACTTTTTCTTTTTTTTTTTGCTATCTTTACTTACGGCCGAATCACCGTTAAAGCAGATCTTATATAAGTCTTTGCTCGATTAAAACGGATCTTATACCGAGATGCTATTGCTTAACGGTCTTAGCTCGAACGCTTATTCGAGTTCTTTTAAATGTTTAAGCTTTAATTGCAAAGGAATATACGTAGCAGCTAGATTAAGCACCGCCGACGTATTACGCTTTTAATACTCGAAGCGCTTTCGATTTAAAAACGCTTTTGCTTTATTTTTATTATCGGCTTTATTTCGATTCTTTTTATAGCCGTGTTTTACGGTGTTTTTTAGTTTTAATACTTCTTTTTCGATTAGTTTATTCGTAAAGATGCAGCTAACTCCGATCCGGCCTCGACCTCCGTCGTTATGCGACTTGAACAGCTCGCTTTTAGCTAGTTATAATAATTTATACTTGCTTAACTCTTTTTTTATAGTTTTCTTTTAATAAAAGGTTTTTTTTTATATAATCTATCTTATCTATAAAAGAAAACCGCATGCGATAATAGCTTTCGCTATAGCACTTTGAATTGCTTTTTAAGGCCTTTTTGTATGTAACTCTTTAGCTTAGCACGTCGCCGTACCTTATGAAAGGTCTTAAGGCGGCAGGCTTCGCCTGCTACCCGCCCGACGTAAATAAATACAATAACAACAACAACAACAACAAATATTAAGATCATCTGTATTTAGATCACTAAGAGCATCGCTAGCGCGAGATTCAGTGTCGTCAAAATAAGGTTGATCTTCGGCTTCTTTTATTTCAACGACTCTCGGCTGGCTAATATTCGGCTGATTATTACTAGTAGTAAAATCATCATCGCCTTTAGTAGAAGGTAACTCTTCTTCGATTATATCGACATAATCGCTCTTTTCGTCAATTAGTTCGTCCTTAATTTTAAGGTCTTCTTTAATAAGAACGTTTTTTGAACTAATTACGACTCTTTTACTCGGGAGGTAAATCAGGTAATTATTAGCTGATTCGAAACCAACTAAAAGCCTTCTTTCGTCTTTATCGGCCAATTTATTGTCTCGCTTATACTTTAATATATAAGCTAGAGAACCTAGTATTTTAAAGTAGCTTATATAAGGCTTTTTGCCGTAAAGAGCTTCGTAAGGGGTTTTTTAATAACCGAGTTATAAAAGCGATTTTTTATATGAGCTATCGCTTGCAATAATTGGGGCCATAGAAATAGAGTTATTTCTCTATCCTTACATACGCTTATTAGGCGTTCAATTAAATAACGATTTAATCGTTCGGCTATGCCGTTCTAAGAAGGTGAATAAGGACTAGTATATTCGCAAATTATACCTTTGCTTTTGCAAAACGTAGTTGTCGGTATATTTATATCGACCTTAGCTAGTAATTAGTAGTTGGGGGGGAGCTCACTCGTAAACCAAGGTTCACGGGCCATCAAGCATGCTTCGCTTAGCCTGTTACAAGTCAAAGGACCCCCAACTTGCTTATAAACCTAGTATTTAGCTAGTATACGTGACTCCTTCTTATTGTATAAAAAGAGTCAGCTCTTTTAAAGCAAGAAATCATCCGAATCAATAAGCAACAATTAAGTATTTTACCACCGAGTGATTTGCAATTGCAAATACTTTAACGACGTTACGACTTTTACGAATATATTACGAGAGATCGCTACCGGCGATCTAATACTGATCAGTGATTGTTTAATCGCTTATTACTTAATCATAGAGAAGCTAGGATCGATCGAAGAATTAGGACTTTACTTTTACTTACTCGAAGAGTGTAGAAGTAATAAGTTTGCGCTATAAGAAGCCTGCAACCGCAATGAAAATCACTACTTAAACCTCGAATACCTTTCCCTTACAACGGAAAAGCGATTCCGTACCAAGTCGCTTTCTTATACTACCGCCTTACCTTATCTACTACGGAAGAGTGATTCCGAACCAAGTCACTTATTACAATAACTTATCAACGCTGTAAAGCCACGCTAGCTACACATAGCATACAACACTACGTCTCGGCGCTAAGCAACATGCAATCAATCGATCCCCGAAGCAACGAAAGCAACAGACAAAGAGCTTCTAGAACGTTAGCAAGAGCTTAAGTAATAGAGATTTAAGCACCTCGAATCTCTACGACGCGTGCGGATCTTCCTTTCAGATCACCGGCACAACCTTTCAATCCAAGCACTCGGAATACCCTTAAATAACTAAACGAAAACGCGTCGGACCTCGGTTTTGACTTCGATTCACTACCGTATTCGAGGCCAGAAAATCACACAAAGGCAAAGTTAATTATCGAGGACTTCTTAAATATAAAAAATAAAAGTTTAAAAGACCACGAGCTTTAGTCTTTATTCCGATACGCGTTTACTAAATGGACCGCGGACGAGTTTTCGTTAGCCGCTAAACAAGCACACGGCCGAAGAAACAAGTTCATATTGCTTATTAGATTAAAAGATCACTTAATAGTTAAAGGAGTTTGGTACCTCTTAAAGCAAAAAGGCTACGCTAATAGACTAGCTTTAATTATTTAAATAAAAAAAGAGCACTAATGAACTTAAAAAGAATAGCGAGAGCAATCAATCGAGGGGTTTGATTCTAAGTAGAACGAAGTTACTATTGCACGCTTAAATCGATAAACTAAAGAAGTCGTTAAAATTCAAGGTAAACATATCGAAAGGTTTCTTGACCAATCAAGCCTTATTCGTCTCATTAGAATCATCGACGAACCTCTACCTCCAACTTTAAATTCGCTTCGCTAATTATTTCGAGAAGAGTACGAAAAGCTCCGACGCCAAAAAAAAGCAATTGCGCGAGACCTCGACGACCTCCGAAACCTAACAATTACGAAGGACGCGCAATAGCGTAAAAAGAGAATCGAAGAAGCTATAAGGCACAAAAAGGAGCTCAATGCAGCAAAGCAATCGTCAAGGCGCAGTTCTCGCGATTCGCTCCCCTCTCCTATTCTTTCGCTACTTCAGCCAGCGTTTTTATCACCGAAGGAACACGCAAAAAAGTACAACGACCCTCTTATTCAAGCCTAAAAACATCGTAAAGATCTTCTTCCTAAACCATAGCAACCCGAGGAAGGAACGCAACACCCTCGGACCTATTAAGAAGCTACGTATCGACAAAAGGAATACCAAGGACCTAAAGATCGCTAAGAGCAAGCCCAAAGACACGGATATTATTAAGCTAGAGCCCTAGCAAGTGACCCGAATAGCTTTAGCGACCTTAACGATGACCCACGGCGAAGAAACGAAAGAGATCAGCAAGGAGATCGAGGACACGGATACGAAGGAGGTAACAACGGCCCTTTTAGACCGCTAAGAGGATTCGAAAACGAACCCCCAAAGGACCTTAGATACGGAGATGAGCTTCTTAAGGACTTTAAGCTAAACCGACCTTTTACCGGCACCCTTTTTTCGACCCGGATAATAGCCAGGCACACTTACGGCACCCCGGGAGCCTTTGACGACGACGATTTTCTTAAGCTCGGAACGGCAGACCTTTACTTAAAAGCGAAGGAGTTAGCTTTATTTTCAAAGAGTTTTCTAAAGGAATTGAAGTATTCAAAGCCGAAAAACGATTTTAATACTCGGCTTAAGATTTTCGCCGATCACGCGTGCCGATACGGATTGATAATTAACGATTACTTAGCTGCTTTCTTTATTATGCTTGCAAAGGAAGCAATTAGGTTCTATTATAACCACGTCATTAAAGCTAAACTTCTTACTTTCAAAGAAAACGCTATAGCAATTAAGGATCATTTTAAGATTAAACACCGACGCTAAGCTAAATACGATCGGTAAAAAGAGCTTTCTTTAAAGCTGATTCAAAAGAAAAATCTAGTTAATTCGTTAGCTGAATGCTTTGAAAAGCTCGAAAAGGAATTAAGAGCAATGCAAAGAGCTCTCCGCTTAGGTTTAAGGGATGATCGGAGCCTAGCTAACAAGCTATATTCAGCTTATAAAAACGTGCCAAAGACGATTATTGCACGAATGAACCCTGCTTTTACTTTAACCGCCGCAGTTGCTAATATTCGCCGAGCAATTGCGTTTGCAACTAAAAGCTTACGACTTCCCGCCAAAGTAAGCAAAGCTTACGCGAGCTCTAGCGAGCCATTTGCTCAGCATTCCTCTTAGCACTCCTTTCAATACTCCTCTCAGCACTCTCCTCAGCACTTCTTTCAAGCCTCAAGCAAAGCTGATTCCGACGATCTTAAGGACGAGTACGAGTGCTTTATTCAAGGCTGCCAATAAGAGGGAGAAAACTGCAACCACTTCGCAAATTAACGGGTAAATG